TGACCTTAACTGTTATCTGCCTGGTTCTGGAGTGTTTGCAGAGCTCCTCCTCTTCGGCTGACCTCCCTCCCAATCCTGGCATCTCTGGGCCAGCTGTCCTGTTGCTATCCATGCCCTTGGCAGGGCAGGCTCAGGAGAACTAATTCCATCTCGGGTACGGATTTGTTTATCCTGCTTAGCTGAATTCGAAGCCAAAAATAGCTATAGTCCTATAGATCTGCCCTGCCATTCAATGCCAAACTCCTAGAAAGAGAAGGCTTGCATTCACTGCCCCCATTTGGTCCTCACTTGCTCACTTCTCAACCCCCTTTTGCAATTTGATTCCTGACTCCACGACTCGACTGAAACTGTATTTGCCAAGGTTACTGGTGAGCTCTTAGGCCCTAAACTCAAAGGTCTTTTCTTTGTCCTCAAAGTCCTTGGCCTCTACTGTGTTTTAGATAGCCAGCCACCTGATTCTTGGGTACGACCACGAGTTCATGTCACTAGAGATGCTACTTCATGTGAACCCTGACCTTCTTACTGTAAGGGAAATCAGAAGACAAAACACTATTGTGGCTAAACGGAAGGCCAGTTCAAAGATCCTTCCTGAGAATCAGAATATACTTTTCCTATAAGCTGTGGTGGGGTCTCGTCTTAATGTTTTTCTGGTGTCATGGACCTTTTTGCAGAATAATGTTTTCAAATATGCAAAATAAAATACATAGGAAACCAATCATAGTGAAAATAAAGGTCCCATCTTTTTTTTTTTTCCCCTATCCAGGTTCGGAGAAACCATGAAATATATCTATGGGCCTCCCCACCTACCAGGTTAAGAATCTCTAAGTAGAGATTAATTCTTCGGACATTTACTCATCACAAATTATTTGCTCACCACCACTGAGCGAGGCCCTGTGGGGCGGGGTAAAAGGCTGAGGTGGAAGGTAATACAAAATAAGTACAAGACACAGGATTAGAGATTTAGGGTTAGAAGGGCTCCCAGAGACAATCTAGTCCAAGTTCCTCATTTACCAGATGTGGAAACTGAGTCCCAAAGAGGTTGAGCGATTTGCCCAAAGTTATATGGGTAGTAAATAGAAGAGCAAAGATTTGAACCCAGGTTCTGATTTCAAATGTGGCACTGTTTCCATTTTATCATGAACTTGTGATTTAGATGGGGAAACTATACATGAAACCCTCAAACAATGAGCTAAAATAGTTCAGAAGCATAGGCTATGGTACAGATTCTCCATAATTATGTGGACTTGTTTCCCTTTTCCCACCTCATACTCACCTCGATGAGGCAGAGAGGTGGGGCAGTGCCCTGGCCACTGGACCTGGAGTCAGGACACAGGCTGAGTTCAAATCTGACCTCAGATACTTTCTAGTTGTGTGACCCTGGACAAGTTGTTAATCCTTCTCAGCCTCAGTTTCCTAATCCATAAAACAGGGATAATAGCACCTCCCTCACCTGGTTATTGCAGGGAACAAATGATATAACCCATAAAGTGCTTTGCAAACCTTCAAGTATTATACAAACACTAGCTTTCCTTACTCTATCTCTACCCTTTGTAATCTGGCTTGATAAACCACTGTCTCAAAGACAACCAAAGTTAATGGCCAAATCTAACGTCCTTATTTTCAGTCCTTATTCTTAACCTCGACTTCTCATGGTCATTATTCTCATCCCACCCCCATCTCTATCCTGGGCCCAATTTTTCTTCTTTTCTTCCTTGGTGATCTGCTCAGCTCTTCTGGGTTCAATGATCCCTCTATGCAAATCCTCCCAGATCTCCATACCCAATTCAAGTCTGGAATTATAGATGCTTACTGGATATCTCTAATTGGATTGTCCCAAAGGCACCTCAAACTCAATGTCTAAAATAGAAACTATTGTTTTCCCCTCTTCCTTATCTCTATTCCAACTTCTATACTTTTGTTGAAGGCACCACCACCCAGATTCACAGCCTTACATCTTCAAATATCCCTCCCTTCTTCATTTCTCACATACAATCAGTTACCAAATATTGCTGATACCGTCTCCAGAATCTTTCTCATCCATTCCCTTCCCTTCATCGCCCTAGTTCAGACTCTTATCTCTCACCTGGAAGAATCCCAATCTGTTGTCAAGTCCTATTTATTTTACCCTCATGCCATCTCTCATATATGCTCCCTTCCCTCTTCCCACGTTGCCACCACCTTGATACAGGTCATCACCTCACTCCATGGCCCTCTGGTTGACTTCCCTGCCTCGAGTCTCTCTCCAGTCTATCAGCCATCAAAAATGGCTCAAACAACAACAGAACACATAAGAAATCCCAACAAACAACCTCAGCCATTCCTAAATCACAGGTCTGACCATATGTAATCCCCAACCCATTCAATAAACTCCAGCGGTTCCCCATTACCTCCAAGGATCAAACATGAAATCCTGTTAGCTTTTAAATCCCTTTACAATCTGACCTCTTTCTACATTTCCAGTATCTCTACACTTCACTCCACCATCCAGTGATATGGGCCTCCTTGCTGTTTCTCATAAAAGATACTCCCTCTCCTGACTCCAAACGTTTCCCCCGGTTGTCCCCATGGACATGGGAGTGGAATGCACTCTTTTCTTATTTTGCCTCTTGGAGTCCTTCAAGTCTCAGCTAAAATCCTACCTTTTGCAAGAAGCTGCTCCTAGTTCCTCAATGTCAGTGCCTTCCAAAGATTACCCTCAATTTATGTTGCTGTTCAGTCATTTCAGTTGCGTCTGTCTCTTCGTGACCCCACTTGAGGTTTTCTTGGCAGAGATACTGGAATGGTTTGCCATTTCCTTCTCCAGCTCATTTTACAGATGAGGAAACTGAGGCAAACAGGGTTACGTGACTAGCCCAAGGTCACACAGCTAGTATCTGAGGCCAGATTTGAACTCATGAAGATGAGTTTTCTTTCCTGATTCCAAGCCCAGTGCTCTATCCACTGAATCACCTAGTTACTCCCTCATAATACATAGCAGTATATGAAAAATATTCTATGTACATATGTCATCTACATGATTTGTACACAGCTGTTCACGTGTTGTTCCCCCTCCTCCCTATCCATTAGAAAGAGGGCTCCTTAATGGTAGGGATTATATTTGTCTTTCTTTGCAGCCCCAGCCCTTAGTATAGCTGTTTCATTATTTCTGTATTTTCACCTAGTGCCCAGCACAGTGCATTTCCCATAAGTGGCACTTCACATTTGTTTGTTGTTGAATGAAAAAAGGAAGAGAGGATCTTGGAATGAAAGACTTCTCAGAGGTCTTGAATGCCAGACTGATGAGCTTGGCCTTTATCCCATGGGCAACAGGAAACCAGTGAAGGTATTTCAGCAGAGAGAGAGACATGATCAAAGCAGCACTCTAGAAAGATTGATCCAAAATAGCATATAGAATGGATTGGTGGGTGGGGGTAAAAGGAGTGATGTTAAGTGAGGAGATGGCGTGCCACAGGCCACAGCATCCCATGCAACGGCAGCCTGGTCCCCAGATAGCTCAATTGATGTAAAAGTCTTCAGCTAGACTCTTAACTACAGTATTAATTTTTAAAAAGCATAGATGGTCTTCCACAGTGGTTTCCAATGTAAAATCTTAAGACCTCACTCTAAACTATTTGATCATGGTTCGGCCTTTCTAGGATTTCACGAGCATGGTAACTCCAAAGCTGGTTGTACTTCATGAAGACTTTCAGAAAGAGTCCAAGTTTGAATTTACTAATTAGATAACTAGATGTATGGACAGAAAGTATCCTTCTATAGACAAGAGGATGACATAAGATCTGAGAGGATAAGATCTGAGTCATTTAATCTGATGCCAAGAGTGATTAAGTAACTTGCCCCAAATCCCTCATAGGCAGGAAGTGGCAAAGTTGGGATTTGAACCTAGGTTTTCTGATCCAGGGTCAGCATTCTAGTGGGAGAGCCCAAGTCAAGCACATGCTCCTATCTCCGATGGAGAGTTAAGAATTAGAACTGGAAGGCATCCCAGTGGCCAACTGGTCCAACTCAGACCTGAGCGGGAATGAAAACATCACAGCATCGAATATTTCAAGCTGGAAAGGACCAGCTTGGCCACTGCCCCCATTTTACAGATAAGGGAATGGAGGTCTAGAGAGGTGAAGCGAATGCTCAAGTTCATACAAGAATGACAGAGCTGGGAACTGAACTCAGTCCAGAGCTGGCGAGTACTGCCCATCTACAATATGCCTGATGAGTACAGACAGGAGAGTCTCCCCACCCAAGTGCAAATTTATTTTTTGCCCTACAACTTCCCAGCCAGCCAGTCAGGACATCCATCATCACACCATGCTCAACACCCTCACTCAACACTACTACAATAATGCTCAGCTTTTGGAGGAGAGATTGCCCTTAGGAGTTGCCAAGGTGAAGTCATTTCTCAAATGACTTCAGGTCACCTCTAATGTGAAGAATTAAGTCTAGGATGACCTCTCCTTATGTTTCCATAGTTTCTCTACAATGGTAACAGAGACCCCATCAGGCCTCAGAGGATACCTGCCCTTTACATCTCCCAGGATTCTGGCTATCTCAAGAAAAAAAATGATTCCTTTCAAGAGCAGAGCCCAGCCTCTTTCCACAGGTGAGGAGTTGGAATTTTGCCAAGTGACCTGAAGCAGAAGTTGGTTTCTGAAATCTTTATTCAAGGACCAAAGAATAAAACTGCTTTGTTTTTCCAAAGGTAGACCAGCCCTGGGACTGTGGCTCTGTTATGGATGTCTTAAGACACTTGTTCAGGCCCGTGTTTAGATATCCCAAGTGAATGCTCACTTGGTGCTGGTGAATATAAATGATGAGACCTTTGAGGATGAGTAGGCATAGGACCCTGTGCACTGAAGGTCTCTCCCCTAGGACAGAACGTCATGGGAACCATTTCGCCTCTAGTCAATGTTCTTCACTCTCCCTGTTACTTAAATGATGTCCCTATTGTGATTGGCCTCCCTGCCTGGGGGCCAGGAGAAAGGAGAATGATCTTCAAAAAACCAAAGTATTTTTCCCCCAAAATATTTTTTATTCTTGCATAACATTTGTGTTTCCAATTGTGAATAAAAAAATTAGAAAGTAGTTACAAAACAGCAATGGGATAGACAAGGAGCAGGGTGCCTCACACACAGCAAGGCCAAATCACTTCCCATCTTCCCCTTCTTCCTCTTTAGATGAAGTGGGACCTGGCGCCTGGGATGCAAGCTCAGCTGGCCTGGGGTCAGTCGGGCTTCCAATTCTCAGAATCTAGAAAACAAAACCGCCACAGCCAGTTACAGTCCTGACAACGTGCTGACCTCCCAATCTGTTTTGAAGGTGCCAGCTGGTCTTCTGAAAGCACCTGAGGCTTCTCCCATCAGCAGCTCAATGAACCATCACCACCACTGCCAACCATGGACGGTCCTATGGAGCATGTTTCTTAATCAAACCAAATTTCCCTGGAGGAGAGTGGATAAACCAGGAAGGGAACCAGAGACAGAGGAGACCTCAACCCAGGGTACGGATGGAAATAAAGAAATAAATTAAATACAGATTCTTAAGCCTCTACTGATTATATAAGTCTTCAATCTCTAGCAGCCAAGGAATCAAAATGGGCAATGGTGACTCAAAGGCATCTAATACACGTAATGATTCGTGTTGCTCAAAGGCAGGATTCCTATTGCTGAACAAGGAAAGCTCATGTCTTTTCTTGCCCTATAATTTAACACAGGAAGAAGAGAAGAATCGACTCCAGAGAGCCTACACAAAGTCCAGAATGCTATAGGCCAACTAGGCTGTCACTCTGCCTCCATGTAAGACCAGGCTCAAGACCAGTCCAGAAAGAAATTCAAGCAGCGTCCAAAGCAGATGGCCATATATTATCCCCTCAATAATATGCCTTTGAGGCTCACCCCTCAGCAATCCAAACTAAATATGAAGGTAGAAGCTTCTCTTAGTATGCCGATTTAAGTAATTAAATAAGAACACTGTGTCATTTAAGTAATATCGGGATGATAATAGATAACAAACACAAAGACTTAATCCCACATCAGCTTCTGCCCGGGGTCTGAGCCCAGGAATTTGCTTCCAATGCAGGTTCAGGAAGGTACCAGTGCACACATAACCCTCCTCATCAATGCATCAGTTTTGGGGCCACTGTTGGAATAAGCTTGAAGAAATCACAGCAGAGACAGCCAAGTGAGAAGGTATGCTTCCCTGGGCTTTAGGGGCTTGACATTGCAAAGACAACCCATATCCATTTCTGCCACGCAAGAGGAAAGAAGGCATCTACCAGAGTGGCTGGAAGAAACTTAGGCAAAGCGGCCAGAGAAGATCATGCATATTCAAATGGTCAACCCAACTCAGGCATAAAAGTATTGACCAGTAATGATCAGTTCCTACATCTCCCATTAGGCAAGACCTACCTTAACTTGTAGACAGGATAGGCAGAAAAGTAAAGCCCAACAAAAAATGCTGTTCCTTTCTGTCATTCGGCCACCAGCGCTGGGAACACCATACAGAGCCCTACACTATGCCTCCTGGCCTGCTGAAATAGCTGGGCTCTCCACTATGGCCATGCTATGGCAGTAGCTATCCTGTTATAGGGATGGCAATGCTACTCTAACCTAACAGTATTATTCTTTTGCTGATACAAGGGAAAGAGCAAGAAGTCATCATGGACAGACAGTCTACCTTCCTGGACATTCAGATCCACTTTAGAAGGGTGACCTACATTCCAGCCATCCCTCTACAGACCCAATTTGAATATGCTAGTGTAGTATTTCTATGATCCCAATCAGGTAGGCTGTTTTAGCTTTATAAGGTGGTTGGAAAATCCAATGGTCACAGTCTAGGGTGACAAGAATCTCCCCAACTTCCATCTTTCTTGAAGATGTGCTTTGTAAAGGGTAGAAACCATTGTTGACGAGTAATTCCAGTGCTGCCACTTCTCCCAAACATTTCCCACTGGTCTCAGGTAGACGTACTATCTAAGTACTTAAAGAAAAAGCCAAAGCCATTTTCCACTCCTCCTCCCCATCATCCTCTCTTCTCCATAACTCTAACAGTCGATCTACAACCTACAAAAGCAAATTCATAATGGGGAAAAAAAAAAAAAGACAAAACTCAACTGATTCCCGCTGGCCCCACCACCCATACTCACACACATCTATGTAGGTAGACAGACATACTCTCTCTTTCCCTCCTTCCTAAATTCTTCAGTCGGGGGACAGGTGACCTAGAAGGATACTGGGACACCTTCAGAACAGAAAACATATTTGAAGTATATTTTCCTAGCCCAGCACCCACAGAGATTCCAGTTAATGGCAATCTCTCCTACCTTGTCTCAGGGAGTTGGTTACCTAGAAAGGAATGTTATTTTCAATCCTACTGTCTGCTCACTATCCAGCCTCACCCAAGTGAGGTGGAAAATTCTGCCTAAAGTTGAATAAGTAACACCCTAAATGGCTGGGAGTCACAGATTCCATTAAAATGACCTTGAACAGGTGAAGAGAATGCCCAGAAAAACTATCTCCAAATACCAAGATATAGATAATGAAAAAACTAAGAGACCAGCAGAAGCTCTGGTGGGAGGCAGCCACACAAGTCATCTGGGCAGATGGGGCTATTTCTTCATTTTGTTTTTGCTTTTGTTCTTCAGGGGGAAGGAGGAAAGAAAAAGATGTTTTCACACTGTTTTCAAGCACAAAATGTTTATTTTTCTCCTTAATATATACAGTCTCTTGGGGATTTCATTCCACTGACTGTCTGTGTACAAGGATGGAACTAACAGGCAATAGTGACTCCAGGCAGTTCCAATGTAAGCTCAAAGAGGAATGGGGATGGGGGGTGGGGTGGGGAATGAGAACAGTTTCCTAATGTTTGCTCATGAAGCATACAGACATGAATCTAAAAACAAACAAATCAAATATACATGTTACAGAGAACAGAAATCTCTTACTACAGTCAGTATTTTGCCCAGGCAGAAGACTCTGCCTAATTGTCTATAAAATTCAATTCTAACTGAATTGATGGAATAATATATTCTCAAAGGGTACAAACCAAATAATTTAGACAGTTCTAAGAATGCTCCAAAGTACAATAGAATGATACAGTTCCCATGTTTGGCAGCACAGGTCATTCTGCTTTCCAGCAGGGAGTATAAAACATCTTTGCAGGAAGAGAACAGTGTGCCTTCAGCGTTCCACCTTGGAAAGTTTTTCTCATCCCAAGCCCAGAATGAGCCTGTCGAGGTCGAGCTGTCTATGAAAAGGAAGCTTGCCACAGACAAAGTGGCTTAATATCGGTCACCTGTGGAGTATAAGACTTTGGGGGGCGGGGAAGGGGGATGGAGAATCCACAGACCATAACAGGGACCAAACTGGGGTAGGGTCTGGGGCACAGGGAGGGAAGGGGGAGGGTGCTCCCATTCTAAAGTGCAAAGAGAGAAAGAAAAAGCCTGATAAAAGGAGCTGGTCAGGTAATATTGTTCTGAAAGATGTGTTTAGTCAGAAGGCAAATAGTAGAGACACTTTAAACACCGTCTCTCTGCCTTCGATTTGGTTTGCTCCTCAGAGAGCAGCACCACTGGCCTACTGGCAGACCGAAACCCATAGCAGGGCTGTCTGCATTCTCAGAATGGGCTGGAAGGCCACTTACAATGGTGCCTTTTCTCGCCTTGCACCAATAAAGCATGTACAGATTTCAAATCAAACTGACTTATGCACGTCCTTTTGGTTAAAGTGTGGCAAAATGTGGATACTTAACTAAAGGAAAAGAAGAAAACATTTTCTCTCAGCTCCCTGTTAACAGAAAGAAGTCACCATCTGCACCACTTAACCAAAAGGCCAGGTACTGGACAGAACCACTCTCGCCAACGTTTTATTACTTGGCTTTCTGCGCAGGATATTTTCACGGCTTCCAAATGTGCTCCTTGAACAACGCATCAAAAAAAAAAAATTCTGTCTTCTCTTTCTCATTGCATAAACTCAAAAGAGATTTAGTTTTTTCAACCACCACACAAATCTCAACCTAACATTTGCAACCCTTTGATAGTCAAGGTTATCTTCTCATTAAGATAAAAGAAAATACCACATTTACAGTAGAAAACAAAACCAAAAAAACCCCAACATGACCACAAGCTTCGGTTTCAAAGTGTGTAAACTCTGCATATCTTTGCAACTTAAAATAGGGAAATTGTTTTTGAACTCACAAGCAAACTGTAAATAAAATACACCTTTCCAATATATATATATATGTATATACGTATATATATGTTTCTATATAGAGATATATTTTACATCTCTTTCCAGTAAGGAACTGAAAAGTCAAGATTCAAGGCACTCAAATACTCCTGCAGGATTAATACAATGTTGTTGTCATCATCAAGTCAAGTACAGAAAGTTATTTGTGTTTTAAAGAATATACCACAATCACAACAATGGAGAATAAAGTGTCTTTAGCAGTGGAATATGCAAATATTGCCATGAACAAACCCACTCTTGGGGTATGGCTGTGGTGGGTTCTACCAGGCTTGCTGTGGTTGTAGCTGAAGCCACCAATGCCATACAGACAAATAGTATCCCCAGTCTCAAATACTCTCTTGGAAGTGTGTGTGTGTGTGTGTGTGTGTGTGTGTGTGTGTGTGAGAGAGAGAGAGAGAGAGAGAGAGAGAGAGAGAGAGAGAGAGAGAGAGAGAGAGAGGTGTGTGTGTTTCAAGAGTACACCCTGTTTTATAGGTGAGTCAGAAAGCTAGGTGATTCTCATCTGGGGGCTGCATGGGTTGACAGCAGGTTGCTGCAGGTATACTGGAAACAACTGCAAGCCTGTTTTGCTCAGGCCTGGAAATGGTGCAAGGCTATGCCCTCCTCTAATCCCAGGCTGGCCCACTGTGTCTGGCCACTGCCCACCATACATAGGTGCTGGGAACACTCCTCCATATGGATACGGAGGTATCACATAAGGTGGGACCGGGCCAGAAAGGGGAGTACCTGTCATAGGCATTGGCAGGGCTGGAGTGACTCCGGGAATTAATGCAGCTGACACAGGGCCAGGCACTGGAACAAGATATTGTTTCCCCACTCCTGTTCTGACTGAATTAACCTACAAAACACAAAGACACGCAGAAGGATTATGCTCAGGTTGACTGGCCAGGGTCAACACAATATGTTTGCTTCAACCCTGGGAATTCTTTAGGAAGCTGCCAGGTAGACATCTCTGTCTCTAAGAGAAAGCAGTCACCGAACCATGCCTGGGGCCTGGTGCCTTCTAATGGTTCAACCACTCAACCAGGACTTGGGGTTGAGGGGTGGAGAACAAAAACCTTCAGACCATCTTCTCCCTCCTAACTCATAACCTACTTCTTCCCCATGTTCAGGAATTTTGAGAGAGCTCCTCCAGGTATTTTAAGAAGCCAACATCTCACCTGAAATGTCCAGGTGAATGAGACAGGGCCTTCATTTTCAAGGAGGAGAACACAAGAGCGCTCTAATAGCATCAAGCCAAACTGCCATTGTTGGCTGACAGTCCTTTGAACATAAAAGGCTAACTTAAAACCTATCCCTCCCGCACAAAGGATCTCAAGTTTGAAGTCCAATTATACCACAAGATGGGAATGAGCTTCAAGTCCTAGAAGTCAGCCAAAGAACTGTGCCCCTGATCCAGATGCTCATGCTAAAGTTTCCTCAAAAGTCAGGTGAACAGGATACAAAGAAGCAGCCAGCCCCTGTCCTAGAACAACCTTAGGGCCCTGATGGCGGATTGAAGATGGTCTTGATATAAAAACTGACTCTAGTGTACACTTAAAATGGAATGTTTTAGTCTCCCAGCCATGTGTCAGTCAGTAACAAAGCCTGATTGCCTTTGGGGTCTACTTGATTTGAATTTAATGCTGGAAAAGCAATTAGGGTAAACCAGCTTAGAGACCAGTCGCAAGACTGCTGTGTGTGTGCATGGGTTTTTGTGTTCTGTAAAACCTGTTCCCCAATTGATAAATGGTCAAAGGATAGAACAGGGTGTTCTCAAGGGAAGAAATCCAAGCAATCAGCAGCAATAAGAAAACATGCTTCAAATCATTAACGACTAGAGAAATAAAAATAAAAAGTAGCTCCGAGGCTCCACTTCACACCCGTTAAGAGTGAGAAAAAAAGGAACAAGACAAATGTAGAGTGTCTGCAAGAAAACAGGCAAGACCTAGCATAAAAGAGATCAAAAAAGGAAGAAAAGGCCCCCACAGGAGTAAACATTATTTGTAGCAGCATTTTTTTGTACTGGAAAAGAACTGGAAACTAAGGGGGTGTCCATCAATTGAGAAATAACTCAACAAATTGTGGTATGTGAATATAATTGTGCTGTTGTAAGAAATGATTTAAAGGATGGTTTCAGAGAATCCTGGGAAGAACTCTACAATCTGATACAGTATGAAGTGATCAGAACCAAAAAAAAAATTTAGACAACATGATAAAAATGAACACTTTTGAAAGGCCTAAGAACTCTGATCAATGACAATTCCAGAGGACCCATAAGAGAGAAATGATATTCCCCTCCCCACAGATGGACTTGATGCAAAATAGACAAATGGTTTATGGATACGGGCCAATATGGGAATTTGTTTCGTCTGACTATGCATATGCAAGGAGTTTTTGTTTGTTTGTCTGGGGATGGGGGGAAGTAGGAGGGAGAGAAAATGTTTATTAGTTGAAAAAATTTTTATTTTTTAAAAAGTCCTAGCCAGAGTTCTGGTTTATATGGGAAGGAAGGGTCTGTGAGACCAAACAACCTTCACTTGACTATGTCTTACAAGATCCACCCTGGGCAAAAGCCACCACTGAAATAAAATCAAGTCCACAGACTCCAGGTGAAGACACTTGGCTCCATCACCTTACAGCAGTTGATTTCAGTTAGGTGTTAGGAGAAAAGCAAAATAATAGAAGCGACAGTCAAGTGTGAATGACCCATTCCTATGCCGAGAAGGTCATGGGACTGTTTGTTTTCTTAAAACAAACAGCACCAAAGGATTGCCAAATGATGACATTTACAGGCAGCATTAACAATGGGGTAGGATAATTCTGGTAGTGGAGGCGAAGTTGTGGTGGAAATACAAATCACTAAACTGTTAATATTTCTGTTTCTACCCCCTCCCAGTTTAGATGCCCAATGCTGATGCTTTTTTTGACTGGCGTTTTTACAGATTTTTTTTTTGCTCTTTCTGAACCCACTGGTTCTCTAAGGTCACCATGATTTTTCACAAGGGCAACAGCTCTGGGTACTGTCTGTCTGCATGAGTTGTTTTCAAGTCAGGTATTGTCTTGTACTGAAATGGCAGTAAGCTGGTACGTATATTAAAAGAAGGGCTCTAAGAAAATCATTCTTGGTGGAAAACCTGATTTCATACCTTACGCCAACAGCTCTTTCCAAATCCATCTCACATTCTGAATGGCCTGAGAGTTAGGACTGCCTCCCTGGAAAGCTGCCATTGGGGAATGTGTTCAGTTTCAGGACTAGAGATGGATATAGACCATAATCCAGAAAAGCCCATTATTAAAACTTACAATTTCTTCCTCCTCTCCTTTTAGTCCTTCCACGGAAGCTGTCAGAAGGAAAACCACTCAAAACTTTCAGGTGCCTATGTGTATCACCCAATTAAATATTTCATTTTTGTCTAGCTAAATCTTTCCATGGTTTTATATATTAGTTATAGTCCCAACTAAACTGTAGGTCTTTGAGGACAGGGACCATGCCTTACATTCTATTTCAGCCATAGTGCCAATCACAGTTTGAATACAGACTAGGGCCTGAAATTCCTGCTGATGGCTCAAGGGGGCCATATTGAATATTATGGACCTATGTTACTGGCCTATCCTATCTCAGATGTTCCTTTCTTGGTGTAGGGGTCGGGGGGGGAAGAGTAATGGGGATGATAATTGTGTTGTCATCTAACAAT